CCCCCCCCCTAAACGCAGTTCTCTATCTCAGAAATCAACCTACTACCACCCCCCTCTCTCATCCCGAAGGTAGATGATTCACTCGCTCTTCTCCCCCCGCGCAAAAACCGCCGTCCACCGCTGCGGCACCAACCCCGCCGCCCCGTACGTCTCCTCGAGATACCTCCCCAGCGCCGGCAGGATCTCCGCCTCGTGGGCCTCGCGCTGCGCCGCGGACCACCACTTACTGACGATGATGGGGATGACGGGCGCGGCGATCTTGTACAGATCGGCCGTGGAGGCGTGGAACGCCTGGGAGATGGTGGTGGTGTGGACGCGCACGAAGCCGGCCTGCTCGAGGCGGCCGCGCACGTACGCCTCGTCGTCCCAGCCCGGGTTCATGCAGGACATGAATTCCTTGGTCGTGGGGAAGGGGAGCTCGGGGCTGGCCGAGATGGTGCGCACGGCGGCTTCGAGGACGGGGAGCCATTCCGCTGTGTTCTTGTTAGCACTGCTGCTTTGGGGGGTGGGGGGAGGGCGTACTTTTCTGCCAGGTGGAGAGGGTTAATGTGCCGCCTGGTTGGAGGATGCGGAGGGTATCTTTATGCATTATTAGCTGCTGTTGCGGGTGGGGGATGGACCATAAAGGGGGTGAGGGGCGGGGGGTTACCGTTCAACGCGGCGTAGGTATCCGGGAATGAGGTCCAGGCTAGCCCACAGCATTAGTTTAGCACATCACTTCAACACCCAGCCTGTCTACCTGTGAAGAGAGGACTCACCCAGCGCCGCAAACACATGCGTCAACTCTGCGGCCGGCAACTCCGTGCTCTGCGCGTCCATCACCCGCGCGCTCGTGTTGGCCGACCACCCTTCCTCCACGATCTTGCGCTTGACGTGGCCCGTCAGCTCCGTCGAGATGTCGCCGCATAGCAACTTCCAGCTGCCCGCGCGCTGCTCCGCCAGCACCTCGTGCAGCTTCTCGGCCACGACCCCCGTCCCGCAGGCCAGGTCGAGCACCTTCAGCGGGCGCTGTGCGGAGTCCAGGATCCCCGACAGGGTGATCAGGTCCTGCGTGAAGTACCGCGTGATCTTCTCGGCGATCAGGTACGTCTCCAGGATGCCTTTGCCGGAGTAGAGCTCGGTGAAGGTGGTGGCGCGGGTCATTTTGGGTGTGGTTGTGGTTGTTGTGGTGGTAGTTGAGGTCGAGATTGAGGTAATGGAAGGCAGGTTGCCGGGTGGTACTTTGAAGATGAGTGTTAAGAATCAGAGGGTGAGAACCGAGACATCAAACTGCTGATGGTGGGCTAGTTCGTCTATGCCATTTCGCCTTTGGCTTGTGTTCTTCAGCAGTGGCTCGCATTACGAGGACAAGAGAACACCCTTCTCCCCTCTTTCCCCCCTTACCTTAACCTACTGCATGTGATGTCTCGCCTTCCAGACCGCCATAGCCAGTACCCACCCCCCTGCATCGTGACATCAGAATGCATGGAGCAAGGAAGGAATGAAGAGAGGCTGCGGGTCTTTCATTTCGTCCGCTAAGACGAAGCACAAGGGAACCCCGTTCTGCCGAGCGGAGTGTGAATGAGACACACCCTAGTTCAGGTGAGGGAGCATCCTCTCAGTCCCCAGATCCGGGGCCCTTCGCGCATCAGCTGGATATACCCCTCAAGACGGGAAGCGGAAGTGACATACAACACTCAACCATGGAGACCATCGCCTTCTCCCAGCTCCTGTACCCGAGCATCGGGCTGGCGAGTTTACTCTTCTTCCTGCGCGCCATCTTCGCTTTTTCCGGCGAGCCCAAGCCTGTCAATTGGCACGCCTGGGATCCCTGCCAGCGCAAAGCGAAGCAGGAGTTTTACTCCAATGCCCGGGGGCTGATTGCGAAAGGGCTCGAGAAGGTGAGTTGAGCCCATAGCCGACTTGCCACGGGGGGGTAAGATGAAATTGACATGATCCGGCATTCCCAGGGCCGCTCGGTGTTCCGGCTCGCGACCAACATGGGAACGTATCTCATCCTGTCCGACAGGTACGCCGAGGAAATCAGAAACGATGAGAGATTCAGCGCCTACGATGCTTTAGTGGATGTATGTAGGTCTCCCTCTTCTTTCCGGTACCCGATCAAGCATCGCATATTTGACCTGCCGTATGCGAAAAACTAATTCCGATGGACTAGGTCATTCTGCTGGAGTTGCCGGGCTTCGAAACGGCGTTCCAGGGCTCGCTACATAACCATGTCTCTCCAATTGCCATCCAGGCCTTGAATAAGGAGCTTGGTGAGTTTCGTTCCGACCTACCCTGAAAGAGGTCTCTAGCCCTAACTTGCCGCCGTGACACCACGCCTGTTCAGTATACTTGACGCGCCCCCTCTCCGAGGAAGCCAGTGAATGTCTGCGCACCCGGTGGACCGAGACGTCTGGTAAGTCCCATGCACAGCCTCTGAGCCGTCTCGCAAACAGCTAAGCCGTCGATGAACCGCAGACTGGAAGACCGTGTCCATCCGCGAGACGGTACTGGCGCTGGTGGCGCAGATGACGACGCGAGCGCTGATCGGGCCGGAGCTCAGCCGCAACCCTGACTGGCTGGAAATCGCCATCAGCTTCACCACCAACCGCGCCATCGCCGTGGCCGCCATCCAAGCCTGGCCCCGCTTCCTCCAGCCGCTGGGCCACTGGTTCCTGGGCCCCTGTCAGACGGTGCGCCGCCAGATCCAGCGCGCCCGGGCGATGTTGTTGCCCGTTCTGCGGGAGAAAGCCGGCCGCACCAATGACGACGACCCATCCGCATCGACAACCGCACACCGCGACTTTTCCACCCTGACGTTCATCGACCAGTTCGCCCGCGGCGCGCGCTACGACGCCACGCTGGCGCAGCTGCGCCTGATCGCCGTCTCCGTGCTGACGACCGCCGATCTCGTGGAGAAGGTGGTGGCCCGCCTCGTGGAACACCCGGAGCTGATCCCGCCGCTGCGCGAGGAGGCGATCGCCGTCCTAACAGCCTCCCCGCAGGGCATCCACCGCAGCAGCCTGCTCAAGCTCACGCTGATGGAGAGCGTGATGAAAGAAAGCCAGCGGCTGGAACCCGCCACCCTCAGTACGTCTCCCCCTTCTCGGTCCGTCCCACCCCCCACTAACGAAAAACCAAGTATCAATGTTCCGCGTCGCCAAAGAAACCGTCACCCTCCAGGACGGCACCCCAATCCCCAAAGGCACGCACCTCGCCTTCGCCAACGACCTCCGCCTCGATGCCACCCTGTACCCGGAGCCCGAGGTGTTCGACGGCCACCGCTTCGAGCGCATGAGGGGAGATCCCCGCACCGCCGGACTGGCCCCGTTCACGAAGACGCGCATGAGCCATCTGGCCTTCGGGCACGGCAGGCACGCCTGTCCCGGGCGGTTCTTGTCCTGTGACGAGGCCAAGTTGATCCTGTGTCATATGTTGTTGAAGTATGAGATTCGCGCGCCGGAGGGGGGCGTGGGAGGTGTGGTTGTGAGTGGGATGTTTGTGCAGCGGGAGCCCGGGGCGAGGATGATGGTGAGAGCTCGGGAATTGGAGGTCGCACTGGCGGAGATCTTGCATTGATTTTGGTTTACTCACTCACATCATAAGGTATTATACGGAGGTTACGGAAGCGTGTATAGGTTCTGGTGATGGATCGTAGGGGTATTGGAGGCCTAGCTACGGATATCAGACTGCAGTTATCGTTGCTCCCGTCGTTGGTATACAGCTATGTATATATACAGACTGTTTTCTGGATGTAGGGTATTGAAATTATATATGCTCTTGTAATTAGCTTGTGGCCAATGGGTTCTAGAAAGAAATTGCTTGTCGTGAGAAACACAGTCTTTGACCCCAACGGGGGTTTCCTGAGCTACCTGCTACCACCTATACTAGTTCACTCTACTCCCCAGCCTTCGCCTTGTAGTCATGCGCAATCTGATATTGACCGTCTTCGGGGACATTGCGGGGCCGGTAGGGGCTCCCATCCTGAATCGCTCGCACGACGGCCGGAAACTCCTCGTAGACATCGCAGTGGACGTCATACCCGAAGATCCACTCTGGGCGGGGGAACTTGATAATGGCCGGGTCCTTCTCGATGGCCTCCCAGTCGGGATCGCGCATCTGCCCGTAGATGGCATTTCCACTCTCCTGGAGCATCTTCGTCCGCTGGAATCGCAGGGCGTGGACGGCCTGCAGCCCCAGGGGCACCCGCGCCTTGCCCGCCAGCTCCAGACAGATGGCCAGCGTCGCCGCATCCTCGATCGACTGCCCGCCCCCCTGGCCCACGATGGGGGACATGGCGTGGGCGGCGTCGCCGAGGATCATGATGCGGCCACCGGTCGAGATCCACCGCGGCAGCGGATCCCGCGCAATGATCTTATAGTCCGCCAGCGTGTCGCGCGGGGTATGTCGCAGGACGGCGGCGATCTTGGGGTAGACCGGCCAGTCCTGCATGAGGGCCAGCGCATCCTCCACACCGGCGCTGCTGGTTCTCTCCCAACTCTCGGCCGCTTGCGCTTGTTCGTTCTGCGATTCTGCCGATCAGCGCATGCATCATTCCCTCTGACCGAGAAAGGGGTATACTGACCCGATGCCACACCTGCCAGACGACATTCTTCCCGCGTTTCCCCGTGGCCAGGGTCAGCCCCAGGCCGCCGTCGGTGATATACCTCCGCACGCGATCGCGCTCGCCCACCTCCTTCAAGATCCACGCCGCGTCCGGATCCCCCGCCACGAGCTCCGCACTGAAGCAGGCCCGATACGCCGCCAGCCCGGAGTCCTGCGCCGGGGGCCGATACCCCAGCACAAAGTCGCGGGTGCGACTGTGCACGCCATCGGCGCCGATGACACAGTCGGCGGCGAGGGTCAGGCCTCCGTTGACGGTCACGCCCGCCCGGTCGCCGTCCTGGGCCTCCCAGTATTCGGTGACCGCCGCCCCGAACCGCAGGTCGATCCCCAGGGCGACGGCATGGCGGTACAGGCCCGTGACGAGCGTGGCGCGCTGGATGATCATGCCCTCGCCGACGCCGTAGCCGTCCATCGCGTCCAGGGCATACAGCTTCCCGGCGGGATCGAGCACCTCCAGGGCGGCCACGGCGTCCGCCTCCGCGACGAGCCGTCGGTACACCGCGCCCTGCTCCCACGCCTGCATCACCTTGGTCGCATTGCTGCCCAGCGCGATGCTGTCCCCTACATCCTCCGACGAATCGTGTCAGCGGCTGAATGAATGGGCAGACCGCGGATTGGCGTCCCTACCCAGAACCCGGACCTCGGGGCTCTTCTCCAGCCCGATCACCCTATGGCCTTTGTAATGGCATTCGATGGCCGCCACCAGGCCTAGGATCCCCAGCCCCACGATTATCACGTCGATGCCGCTGGATCGCGGCTCGGCGACCCCGCCCGGGCCGACCCCGGTGCTGATTGTCATGTTGGACGAGTGAGTGAGTGGGTGGGTGAGTGAGTGAGTGAGTGGTTTCTGTGGCCTTGGGGATGGTGCTGATGCCGTGGAACGACTTAGTATGGAGAAGGGGGAGATTCTTCCTCTCGTCTGATGATCGATGTTCAGCTGGTCGACAGCGCTTCCTTGCATGGAGGGAGGGGGGGGGGCAAACGATGAGCGGTCTGGGCATGTCTGTCCTCGGTCAAACGCTGGACATGCAGTTCTCACGCTTCAGCTCTTTCCCCTCCCTCGCGTTTCGGGGTATAAACTATTTGGGCAGGTATCCCCACCGGGTTGAATGCTTAGTGGGTTAGTTGGTTCGGCGCTGGTCAGTGTGGTCTGGCCACAGGGGGCGATAGTAAGTCTCCTATTCCAAGTCCCAGTTGGTCGGGTCTCACCGCCAGGAAGGACATCGTCACTGTAAGACAAAACTGGATGGGCTAATCAGCTACCGCGTGATTTGCGTTCTGCAGGAGTGTCTTATGCTGAAGAATTTAATCGGTTTCGTTCGGCGGCTTAGCCCGCCGGGCCATACAACACATACATCGCTCGTGCACTATCATGCAAGGAGGGTGCAGCATAATGCGTCTGCGACTCTGACGTCAGGAATAAGATTGCCTAAGGTTGGCCAAGACACGGGAAAAGGGGGTAAGGGTAGGGGGAAGCGAGAGGGGACAGAAAATGGCGATGTCCAGTTTTTCCTGTGCAGAGAGGAATGTGCGGTGACTCTGTATACCCGGTTCTTAGGGCCGGAAAATGTGCATATGCAACATGCAGCATGCACATACTCCGGCCCACATGTAAACAGGGCAGCGGGGGGAATCTCCCTTGATTGGGGCGGCCATGCAAGGGTCTCTTTGGGGGCTTGGTTGGTTTTTGGCACAGGATCAAGGGCGTTCAGGATTGGATGAGCTGTAGGCTTGGGCCTGGTGCTCTGCAATTCAGGCTCTGGATTGTGCAGGGCGGCTGCCTCAGGCTTTGAAGGATGTGTTGTGCTGGCTACGCGTGACATGTTGGAACCCTAATATGGGTGATGTTGTACGGTAGTATGGGTATTGAAGAACTCTCCCTGTGATATCTAGTCCACGATCTATAACCCAAGCAATCTTGATCAGCCTCCTAAAGGCTATAGATTCACGACCCGACTGCGGAGGAGCTTGACTAGGTTTCTTTCGCTGCCTCACCAAGGCATATTGAAAAATAATGAGAACCGAGAGGGAGTTGGACAAGGTGACTGTAGACTTGTAGACGGAAAGATGCTCGCCAAGCATACCGCCAAGGAATAAGGATTATAACGGTTTAGCACGACTCGCCCACTGCAGCAAGAAAAGTGCAAACAAGACGGATGGGACATACTGAGCAGAAATCCAGCGGCGTGAGTACAGGCAGCTCTATCACCATCACCAAAAAGGGGAACTATTGTAGCAGTGTCAAGGCAACAAGAAAATATCCATTTCATGAATTGCATGCTTAACGTCTAAACACTTCGACTGCCCACCTCGCCATCCCTCTTCTACTACTATCATTATTTAAGCCTCGCCTCGACAATACCCATGATGTCTCCCGGCTTCCTCCACACCTGCACCAGCACCAGCCCTGCACTGTCCAGAAGGCTCGCAAAGTTCTTCTCAGTCCGCTCAATACCTCCGATGGCCATCAAGCTCAGATCCTGCCAGGCGTGAGTCATGGTAGCCCCCGTCTCCGGGATGATGATGTCGTGGATCAAGATCCGGGACTGGTCCCGGTTCATCGCAGCCGCGGTATTTTCGAGGATCGTCTTCGCTTCCGGCACATCTGGCCAGTCGTGGAAGACACGTCGAAAGTAATATATAGAGGCGCCTGACAGATAAATTGTAAATTAGCTATTACGACCACAACACGGGACCGCGCTCGCCAGGAAAATGAAAGAAAAGGCTTACCCCGGATTGGCTGGGCTTGCTTCAAGAAGTCGTAGACCTGCGGTTCAATACCATCGGCTCGCAGCGCTTGACTGTGTTCCTGGATGACGGGCTCAAGATCCTGCACGATGAACCGACGGCCTTTCAATGCCGGGACGATCTTCATGATCTGCCGCGTGGCGTTGCCATGGCTGCCGGCGATATCAACGATGGCCACACGGTCCTCGGCGGCACCGCGAAGCCGATCCTCCCATGGGTACAGGTCCATGGCCATTTGCTCCACGTCGGCGGCTTCGGCCCTGGTCACAGGCGCAACATGCTTCGGGTTCTTGTAGAGGTACTCGAACATCGTCTCGCCCGGACAGTTGTGGGCCAGGGTGAACGGGTTGTTTCGGGTCGTGATGGCGTCTTTCCAGTCATGGTGGCGAAGGAAGTCGCAGATCTGCAAGACAGGCCCGAAGATGAAGTCCGACCTACGGGGAAAGGTCTCGTGGTCAGTATCCAGACAGCAGCTGGAAAGGCCTCCTCCTCGACGACGCACATTACCGGGAAGCAGCCCGCGATATCTGCAGTCAGATATGCCTCGGAATACGGCGTGTGGGCATACTCCTCTTCGCCGGTCTCGCGGAAAGGACCCAATGGAGTCACGGCTCGCATCAGGCGTACTGCATGCCCGTCAGCATTGATGTTGCGAGGTCTTGGAGATTCGGGTCCGACATACTCAGGATGCTCTTGTCCATGCCCGTCCGTGAAGCGATCTCGCTGGCCGTCATCGGAGCTCCGCCCTTGGGGATGGCGTGGAAGACCCCGGCCGCTAGAAGAGCTCGCAGCGCTCCCACTTTGACGATCTATTCGAGGGTCACTCATTGTCATTCAGGTGCCACGCCAAACAGAGACGGTGCTCACTAACCTCCTCGAAGGAAGACAGCGCCGAGGGCACAGGGCCGCGGACGGTTTGGATCAAGCTGGAGGCCTTCCTCTGAAGGTCGAGCTTGGTCTCATCGCCGGCGATATCACCATCCAGGAAGCGCTGGGCTGCGACAACTATCGCGTCAACATCTTCTTGCACGGCCAGCCGCTGCGCATCAGTCTTGTCGGTGACCGTCATGGTGGTGCAGATCCCCGTCACTGCGATTGTGTATCGGGTGTGAATAAGCCACAGCGAAGTTACAACATGTTGTAACTAGGAAATGAACTTGCTTAATGATTTTGAATTTGACATCATGGTTGAGCTGGCTCGAAAACAGGGATACGGCCCGCGAGTCATGGTCCCAACCCCTAGCATTTGCTTGGATCTCAAGCAACAAAGTGTGTTTGCCACCTCCTCAGCGGGATGGGAATCCATCAGTCTATCTTCATGATTGAGCCGAGCGCAAAACAAGGTCGAGCCCCGCGAGCTATGGTCCCATCTTCTGGCCTTGCTTTTACCGGTCAACCTACGGAGGAGTGAGACATGGAATACTCGTGGCCTGTCGTCAAATCTGCCCTATTGGGGTTGCAGTTACCACATGCAACATTCCACCATGGGGATGAGAAAGGACATGTCCAAGATCGACTTTGCATACGGCTAGCCTGGAAGCCACATAGGATCTCAGGTGATATCGGTTGCAACTCAACTGTAATTGTTCTTGGCAGATAGAGTAAGATGGCATGCAGACTACCTAATTTTCCCTTCGAACTGTCAAGTCCCTTTTCCTCACACAGCCCAGCTCATCAGGGCAGTCGTTCTTGGTTGTGGTCATCTTGGAGCACGGGATTCCTGTGCTCTCCGAGGGACTGGCCGGAGTGCTCGGTGCACAACCACGCTGCTTGGTGCTTGCGGTCGTATGCCTGCATGCTACTGTGTATTTCGGCACTGTTTCTGCAGGCATACCTAGCCAATATTCTCCGTTTCTTCACGGCTGGCTCGGATCCTCCAGCAGACTTGCAGAACCTGTTTCACTGGTGTTCGTGTGTTGCTCGCCCGGATAACCCCGCAGCTCCTTGCTGGGATGAAATCATCTCGGTCGCAGGACCCTCCTCGGTTGCATGGCTCCTTACTCGACAGAAGCCTTGCGCCATGCCTTGCCTGGATGAGTCATCTTCCTTGTCGAGATCCTCCGTCGCGCGGTCTTTCACGTGTATGGACTAATATGCAGTTGACTGTGATCGATAGTGATCACGTGACCACACTGCGGCGTGCTGCGCTTCGCATGTCTTCACCACAAATCGATCCGGACCTCGTCCCTGAAGGTTCCAGATGATCGCTCACCTGGGCTGAAGAAGAAGCGCTGGTACGGTGTGAAGCGGATACACAGCTTGTTACTGTACCCTGATAATATGAGACATCTTGAACATACACGGGGGCTAATCTCATGAACATATATCTCGTCTACTCTAAAATGATGGTAGCGTCAATGCAGATGAGTTGTATGTAGCTTATCCAGGCTATCAGATCCATCAATCTCAGATAGTCTATTGAAATAGTGTTCCCAGTAATCGTGATCTTGTCTTGTATGTGGGCCAATGCTGGGATATGTGTATATAGTAGGAGTGCTGATCATCCTTTACGGAAGGCGGTGAAGGCCCCCATCTATCTAAGGCCCGCGACCGTCCGCGACCTTCTCGATCTCTCTCTCGCCACCGTCATGACGCTGTACGTACGTCAGCAATTTAGCGAATCTTATCATTTCTCTCCTCGTTTCCTTTGTGACCCTACTTCGGAGATACGGGAAGATACACGCTTCAGCACCTCCTTTTTTCGTCAATCCCAAAATCACCAGGCTAAACTGAGTTGAGAATAGGAGCTTTCATTCCGAACGAAGCCCCCCCTCTCCGACTCTAGACAAAACCACCGACTAAGATGGAACGAAATAGTCATAACTGCGGTCCTCAACTCGATGACACAGACACATTCTCGAAAGAGATTACAGAGCCTCCAAGATGATCGCTTGCTCAGCAACCTTGAACCATGCATCCCCACGTTTCCGAGCCTCCCGGCCGTCCGTGTCGGCGGGGGACTTCTCCGGCGACCGGAGGCGATAATGCTCCACCGTGTACGCCACCAACACCTTGAGGATCGTATCCGCCAACGCCTGGGCGATACACTGGCGCGGCCCGAAGCCAAAGCGCCAGAACCGGTAGCGGAAATGCGCGCGGGATTCGGCCAGGAACCGTCGCGGCCGGAAGCTCGTCGGGTCCGGGCCCCAGGACTCATCGCGGATGTTCAGGGCATTGGTATCGACCACCATGTAGCTGCCCCGGGGGATGCGGTATCCCCCGACGTCGCGCGCTGTTGGGATCGACTGGGCGTACGTGTAATTCGTCACCGGCCGCAGTCGCGCCGACTCGTTGATGCAGCTCGCCAGCAGCGTGGAGTGGCTGGCGATGTACCGCTCCCACGCTCCTGCGGAGTCGTCCGACCGTACGTCCATGATCTCCCTGCGGAGTTGCTCCTGGATGGCGGAGTCGTCGGCCAGGAAGGCCGGGATCCAGGAGAAGCTGCCGATCGTGACGTCGATGTTCGCGAAGAGCGCCTCGTCGAGAGTATGCATTAACTCCGTGGGCGTGAGCTGGCCGCGCTCGACCGCGGCATACAGAGGTACGATCGCGCATGCGGTGCCCTGGCCGCTGGCTTGGGCGCGTTGGTATGCCTGCCGGTTGAATGCCGCCCACCGCTCGTGGAAGACACGCAACTTGGCCCGGATCGTCGGCGAGAAGAGTTTCGTGAAGGAGAAGAGCGACAGTCCGCCCTTGAAGGCATACTGGAAGACGTCGGTCCGCAGGTCGGTGATGGCGAGGAGTTCCTGCACCATGTCCGGAGGCAGCTCTCCGTACAGGAGATCACCGATCACCCAGAAAGGCAGAAGCTTGAGATCCTCGGCAGGCTTCAGACGCCACGACTCTCCGGCTTGATAGTCCCCGTCTAGCTCGTTGAATTGTCGAGCCACTCGTGACTGCACCAACGGAACGTAGGTGGTGGCCTTCTGAGTAAATGGAGGCGAGACCACCGCATGGACACGTTTCCAGTGCTCCTGGCTGATGAGGCCCACCCCGTCTCCAACCAGATCGCCCATCACCCAGCCCCCATTCAGGTTTGAGGCTTTCAGGTGATCTCCAGAGTCCCTGAAGACCGTTTTAATCTCCTCCGCCCGCGTTAGAATGCTGGCGAGGATTAGCACGGACCAATAGCTGCGGGACCGGACACGTACATCTCAGGCGTCAGGCCAACCCAGATGCGATAGACCGGTCCATACTTCTCCGCCCATCGACGAGAGACCCTTTCGTATTCGAGAAACTTGAGGCTCCCTCCACCGTCGGGAAATCGGTATGGACATGTCGGAATCGAGGTCCGGCCGTCTGCCGAATGGATTGGATACCACCATAACAAGAAACACTGTAAATTAGGACTGGATTCCACGAAGACACCGGTGGAACAACACTCACATTGATCACATAGGAGATGAATCGATTGGGCCAGGTGTTTGGCGTGAATGCGCGCCAGAACGCCAGTAAGACCGAGGCCAGACCAAACTGGATGGTCAGAGCGATTTGGCTGACCATCATGTGAATCTGCTTGCTGAATGATCCGGACACCGGTTACCCAGGGGGTCAAAAATCCAGAGACGAGGCGAGCCTGGACCACATAAGTTCAAATGACGTGCACTCAGCTCACTGACCGACTGGTTGATTGTGTGGCCGGGGAGAAATCCCTGACCTCGATGCAATTTCCTCATCAGTGCTGAGCATGTGGTGACGGCCATGTAAGGGTCGGGTCGCAAGTGGAGTTGTCTTGGTCTCGGATACGCCGATCTCCAGGCATGGACAGCGGTATGTAGGCATCCAGCGGGGGTTATTCTATATTCGGTCGCGCAAGGGTGATGTCTCTCAACCCCTGACTCGCTGGACTACCTCTTGGTCATTCTGCAAAAATTTCCAGGGCAGAGCAAGCAGGACTGGTAATGATATCATCACCTTCAAAGCAATACCACGATCGTGGTCACGGTTGGATACTATATTCTCTAATGCAGAGGCCCTGCCGCTCCCCTCAACCTCTTGATTTGTCTATATACGATAGAGCGGGCTCACCATGAACTTGTGTCTTGATCGTCATGTTATCTCTCTCCCTCTTGATGAGGAATTGCTAGCGAGGTGGCGCGCAAGTGGCACATCTAACTCACCAGCGCATCCGCTCAAGGCAGCATGGGCGCTGTTACTTTCCCGAGTCTCGGGGGTACCGAGAAGCAAATTCGGAGTCATCGAGACGCCGATGACTTCGGTCGTTGATCCAAAGATCAATCCCACGAGTTCGGAGCTACCGCATGTAGAGACCTGGGCGATATCCGAAAATGCCGACATCGCTCTGCGGGATGCCGCCGAGGAGAGCACCGAGTGTCTCGTGGAAACCGAGGCCACCTCTGCGATCATCATTAGCTGGGACGGTGAAACAGCCCTTGTAAGTGGAGAATGAGACTGTCTTCATTGTGCCAGGCACTAATGGCCTCCGAGTTACCATCGACCTTTCAAACGGTTGTGCTTTTGAATTGCGGCCTGTCACCGGCTCAAATGTACATGAGTTTCTCGCCAGAGTTCCTCACAATAAGCATGGCCTGGGCACAATTGGCTTCTTGTGTTCGGCTCCTGGAGCAAATGATCCTGACTCCCGACTTGCCGCTTTCCAAGGTAGACTTTCTCGGCTCCTACGGCGAGAAGACGATCCAGCAATGGAACGATCCTTATTCCCTGTCCAGGCCGAATGTTTGTATCCACACACTGATCCAAGAACATTGCCACAGTCAGCCTGAGGCGGAAGCTCTGTGTGCCTGGGATGGCTCCGTCACATACGCCGAGTTGGATCGGCTATCGCTAGCAATCAGCATTCTGCTGCAGACCTATGGAATCGGCTCCGAGACGATTGTGCCGCTTCTCTTTGAGAAGTCACAATGGACCGCGATCGCTATGTTGGGGGTGCTGCGGGCAGGTGGCGCTTTTGTTCTGTTGGATCCTTCCCACCCGGTCCATCGTTTGGAGGAAATCTGTGTCGAAGTGGAGGCAACCGTTGTCCTCACCTCTCGTTCACTGCACGAACTGGGCGGCCGAGTACATCGGCAAGCAATTGCAGTCCCGAGAACCGAAATTGAGGTTGATAAATCAAACTGCAACCGGACTTCCGTCGTTAATCCATCCAATGCTGCTTATATCGCCTTCACTTCAGGATCGACTGGGAAGCCCAAGGGAATCGTGATCGAGCACCGGTCTTTCTGTGCGAATGCCCTAACCCAGAATGCGGTCCAGAATCTGAATTCCCGGACTCGTGCTTTTCAGTTTGCCGCCCACGCCTTTGATAGCAGTATTCTGGAGATGCTCATGACGCTCATAGCCGGGGGGTGTGTCTGTATACCCTCGGAGGAACAGCGTCTGAACGGGCTGTCGAACGCGATCAACACCCTCCAGGCCAACTGGCTGGAATTGACTCCGTCCGTGGCACGTTTCCTCCAACCTGATCTGATACCGGGGGTCAAGTCACTGCTCCTCGTCGGTGAACCCATGTCACGCAAGGATGTGAGCCAATGGGCCGATAGGGTCCAACTCTTGAATGCCTATGGCCCTGCTGAGTGCAGCGTTGTAACCACGATCCAGCCCCGTGTGAAGGCAAATGACCCGCAGAACATCGGGCGCTCCTACAGCGGTCACTGCTGGATTGTGAATCCTCAAGATCATGACCAGCTGGAGCCTCTGGGTGCCGTGGGGGAATTGCTTGTCAGTGGACCGATCGTGGCCCGAGGCTATCTCAATTACCCGCGCCAGACTTCATTCATCAGCACGCCCCGTTGGGCGACCCGGTTCGGCGTCCCCGAGGATGAGCGGTTCTACAGGACTGGAGATCTTGCTCGGTATAATGTGGATGATGGGACGCTGCAATACATCGGGCGGAAAGACCGGGAGGTCAAAATCCATGGCCAGCGCATTGACCTGCAAGAAATCGAATATCTTGCGTCTCAGTACCAGAATGAAGTGGCGGCAGTTGTTGATGTGATTCAGCTTGGAGACAGCAGCGCAGGCAAGCTTCTGACGATTTTCTTGGCATACGCAGATACAGACCTGTGTTCTGACAGCTGCAAGGGTCAGATTGTCAGTGTCGATGCTGCGATGCGTTCTGTTTCTGCGGGCATGAGAGGCTGGCTCCAAGACCGCCTGCCCCCATATATGATTCCTACCAAATACGTCTGGGTGACTGGATTCCCTTTGACGCGAACGGGAAAGCTCGATCGACGGGCATTGGTGGATTTGGGAACAGCAGCAACTCACTCACGAACACACAATTCAGAAACAGAGTCGTCAACCATGGATAGCCACGAGGATAGTGACTTCGACCCCGATATGCTATTGAAAGAGGACCTCATCCGTTCACTATTTGCTGAGGTGCTGGATTGTCCTGGACAAGCCATCGGTAAACATGATGACTTCTATGAACTGGGAGGAAACTCGCTCGCCGCGATTGAGCTTGTCGCTCGCGCGCGCAGTCGAGGTCTGGAGCTCACAGTTGCAGAAGTCATCCGTTCTCAAACCGCCCATAAGATTGCGAGGTCCTCCTTGGAGACTGCAGAAAGCCCCGAAATTCCACCTTTTGCTCTCCTGGGAAGGCATGACAGAGAAGAGATTCTATCTACTGCCGCCGTCCAGTGTCAGGTCATGCCAAGCCAGATCGAGGATATATACCCGTGCACCCCTCTACAAGAAGGTCTCATGTCGCTGTCAATCAAAAGGCCGGGGGCCTTCATCGGTACATACCAATTCTCATTACCTTCTTCGACGAGCGTGACTCAGCTGCGTGCCGCATGGGAACGGCTTTGGGTCGTGCATCCAATACTACGGACTCGGATCGTCTCGGCGAAGGATGGAACCATGATGCAGGTCGTCATAAAAGATGATCTCCTTTGTAGGGAAGGACTATTCGCCGACGATGTCCGGAGATCAATGGGCTTCGGAAGCCCACTCGCACGTTTGACAATTCAGCAACTCAATACCCCTGTTCTGTTTATTCTCACGATTCACCACGCCATCTTTGATGGATGGTCGTACGTACAGCTGCTCGAGGACCTGCACAGCTTTTATCAAGGCCAGTCACCAGAACCGCGGCCCGCATTCACTCACTACATTCAATATCTTGCGACATCGGATTCGCACATGAGCCGTTCTTTCTGGAAGGACGAGCTCAAAGATTACCAGTCCCCAGTGTTCCCATCATCCTTGTCCCGGCGGCCATCAGCCTTACCTCAGTGGCTTGTAAAAAGCCATCAGGTCTCCTTAGCTGACCTTGAGGTCAACTGGAAGCTCGCAAACCAAATCAAGCTGGCGTGGGCATTGGTCGTATCCTCCCAATCAAACTCCGACGATGTCATATACGGGCTGACTGTTACCGGCCGAAACGCTCCGGTTTCTGGGATTGATCGTATCACAGGTCCGACATTTACCACATTCCCCTTCCGAACACAGCTGAACACGGAGCTATCTGTCCAACAAACGTTAGCTGAACTGCAAGAACACGATGTATCTCTCATGC